TTAATAATTATTTTTTATTCAAATTGTAAATGTCATTAAAATCTAATTTTTGTCTCGAAACTAAATAAGTTTAACTTCCTTAAATTTATATTCGATAAAACGAAGACACAATACTCACTGCATAGTATCAACTATACTTCATCCCCGTCACCCTCCCTTCTCTTTTTTTTTTATTTCGTTTCCAAACGATTACATTTTTCATAAATGATTCCCATGGTCAAATTTTTCCGCGTGACGTTTCTATTTTCGTCTTGGCTTTGAAAAATTACTCCCTCCTACGCGATTAAAGAAATTGAACTCTTACAAGAAAAGAAAACAAAATATTTCGAGATGTAAATATATAAAAAGAAATGGTTAGAAAAGTTATAGGAAATCAAGTGGTTCACTGGTATTCAAAAGAACAGGGTACCGTAATTCGACCGAACGTTGTATCTTGAAGACAATCTCGTAAAAGAAAAAGAAGGGTAAAACGAGAAGAAGTAGATAGGCTGTAATCGAATCGGAAGGGATATAAAGGAACGGTAAAAAATGGCCTCGAGTAAAGTTTCGTTTCCATAAACAAACGGATTTTCTTAATAAGCATTCGAGGGGTAAGAGAACAATATTACGGTAATTAAACGCGCGCAATCCGTAACTCAGTATCAAAGGATAATTAAAACCCATAAGATTCACTTATTAATAATAACGACGAAAAAAGATTACTCTTCAGTTTTTTTTAACTTACGTTGTGTTTTTATTGTCTCTCGAATGTTTACGGTATTTTCGAAATACAAAATTCTGATGAACTCTTAACTTAACGAACTATCGAATATTTTATGGGTTTACCATTATACATAATAATCCTATTATGTTCGAACGGAATATAAATTATTTTTTTACGTTGCTACCTGAATCATAATTCGGTAAAGTATATCGCCCTAAGAAATCAATTCGGAATACGATTGATTTGTGATAAGTACGGTTAAATAATAATACAAAAAAAAAACAAAAAGATAAGAATTCAATTTCAATATATTAACTACATACTGTATACGTCAAGATTGTAATTATGTATGTGGTAAATTAACTCGGAAAACAAATACATTAAAGCGATAATTGTTTTCATAAATCTGTATGAAATATTACGAAGGTAAAAGAAAAAAGAATTAAAAAAAAAAAAATGATCTCGAATCGTTGAACTGAGTACCCCTGGTTTTATATTGCAAATCAATTAAAGATAAAAATCTCAACTAAGCAATTGATTATAATTTAGCATAAAGAGGAACACACCTGCGACATAAAATTGGTACTCATCATTAAATTTAAACTTAATCGGTCAATTTGGGAAACGATATCAAAATATTAATAATAAGAAATATCGTTGATTCTATTTCCTATAAACAAGAGCAAACGTCTATGTCAAAAGTGCAAGAAGTAGTGAAAAAAGGGTAGAAAAATGTGTATAGGAGATCGAGCATGTTATAAATCAATGGAGAAAGGCGGGAACGAAAATAGCAGGTAAGACAATCTATCGTACATTTAAAGGCATGTAAACAGGCGTGGGACACACGTGCGTGGGATAAAATTTATCGGCCTCGCCTTGGGCCACCGCGTTAACCACCTTCGAATCTCATTCTGTGGTAAGTAAGCGCCGCAACGGCGATTAATTTTCTAACTCTGAGCTACTTCACCGTTAAAATATATATACATGCGATATTTTTTTTTATTATCTGACGAAGAATTGAAAAAAAAAAAAAGAGAAAAAAATATTTTCTTTTATCGTTTAACAAAACATACGAAACATTCGATATTAAAACATCGATTAAATTAAAAAACAAAAAAGAAAAACAATTGATAAAGAGATATCGTTATTACCAATAATCTCTTGTTAAATTTGATGAGAGGAAGCAATGAACCGAGGAATCGTCAAATTCTAGGATTACAAGGAGTGGCAGCAGACGGCACACGAGAGTGTGCATCGGACGATGTTGGTAAATGGATAAAAGAAGATAAAAAGGCAGGCAGAGCACATTTGGAAGATCGTAGTAAGTATCAAAAAAGGTGGTGGTGGTTCCCTATGCTCTATCCTCCTCCTCATCCTCCTGCTCATCATCATCATCGAAGAGTCGATGGTAAAATGCGTCGTGCCATTTACGGACAATTAAACTTTCTGCGATGGATACTCGAATTTCACGGGATTACACAACATTCCTCGAGATCACGAATTATAATCATCGAACGACGATAGGCTTAGGTTTGGGTTTAGGCTTGGTTTCGTTGGTTCTCTTCCTTCCTGGTGGTTGTTTCATTCCTCGAAGTCGAGAACCATAGAAAGGCGTCGAGGAAGAGGAACAACCAACCCGCTGCTCGCTGCTACTGGCGGCTGGTGTTCGCTCGGCATGGTCTGCCAACCGCAGCACGCGACACCATATGGTCTACCGATAACCATGACCCTCTTGTATGACTATGTATTTGTGCATTATATCTATGTATCCAAGAATATACGCAAATACGCGAGGACTACTATTCCCGAAGCTTGCCGAATTTTCACTTGGAGAAAACACGAGACGGGAAGGACTATCTATTTATCTATTTATATATCTATTTATCTATCTATCTATCTATCTTTGCCACGACAATATAATTATATATAATTTTATACGATCAAAATTTCTTTTACTTCGATTTTCTTTCTAAGATTTATTATATCGTTTTAGGATTTTTGTTAGACTAATATGTTTTTGTGACGCATGCACAGGAAAAAGAAATATTAGAATAATATAATACTAAGATCAATTTGTAATATCGTGGGTAGAAATTAATTCGGTGCCTTAATATTAACTTGAATGTAAATAATTGCTCTCTTGCCGCGTTTTAATTATCAATACTTAAAGTTATGAAACATTTGACGACTAGGTTAAAAGAAAAACTATTAGAGTAAGCATGATAAGATAATTTATTTCTAAAGAAAACACGAAAAAGGGAAAGTTATATCTCTGATACAACAATATAATTGTTTACGCTTAGATCAAAATTTCTTTTTTTCTTTATTTTTTTTCCTCAGATTTATTCAACTTTATGATCTTTACAATATAAACATAAATCTTTACAATCTAAGAATATAATTGCGTTGAGGACAATTACAAATTGAAATATTTCAAAATACATATATAGTATTGTTTGCTATCAAAATATATTTAATTTAAAACAATTCTGTTAATGCTTGATGCAAATACAACACGCATGCCTATGCATAAATTGTTATAATTGCAACAACAGAACAGAAGTTACTGTTGCAAAAATAAATCGATCAATTTACTTAACAAAATTAATTGAACCATCTAAAATTTTGATCGGCGTATAACATAAACTATCCTATCCATATAACCGCGTAAATACTTCATGTTTATGCACAATAGGATCATTAATATTCTTCGTAAAACCGGTATTGGTATCGAGGTTGTTACTAAGAAAAGATTTGTTTTTAAACTGAATAACGTGACACGGAAAATTTCTATTTTATTGAAAAAGAAAAGAAAAGAAAAGAAAATGTGTTAAAACGTTGAAGATTGAAAAACTATTTGGAAAAAAAGAAAAGAAAAGAAAAGAAAAAACAAAAAACTCCATCCTCCCCGTTCGATTCCCCTACAATTCCCTTTTCGTAGAGTATGGCTAACGGTAAGTGAAATTCCCATAGGATTTTCAGGGGTTGGGTAACGCGTTTATGGCACCCTCGACGACATTCGCCTGGCCATATCCTAATAGAAATGTAATCACGTAGTTCTGGTAGCTGAATAAATTATTATTATGGTCTCGTATGTGAGTTTATACAGAGATGAGTGAAATGGAGAGTTAGTGAGATAGATAAAGATAAAGAATATGAGGGAGAAAGAGATGTAGAAGTATGGGACGACACTCATGAATTTGCTCGACACACATTACGATGATGTCCCGTAACGGACCATGGTTATTTATCGTTATTCGTTCACCACGTCAAACACCGAAATTATTTTCTATCGAACGCGTACGAGCTGTTTTTTTAATAGTGATCGAGCAACATCACGACGAGAATATCTTTAGTTCCGACATCGTAAATTCCATAGTAGAACGTGCCAGAGTAGGAAGGAAACGAGTTTTCAAGTACATGGTGGTAAATACCGATATCGGCCAGGATGCAATGCCAGCAATATTCTGCTCGAAATCTACGTATTCACCATACATAGAGATAAGTATACACGCTTCGTCAGCTTCGCGAAAAGTACACCACCTCTTTATAACGAATAATATTTTGTTACACTTTTTTTTTTTCTCTCTCTCTCCCTTCTCCTTCATTGACCCCACGGTTTGCTTGTGTTTTCTTATCTTACCGTTTTGTTGCCGAGCTTATCGGTAGACAAGTCACACGACTTACATGCTGACTCGGTAAATAAATCGATCATTTTTTTTTGTATTTTTTTTCTTTTTCTCAACGCTTCTCAGCTTTACTTTACACCGTGTATATAAATAAAGTTGTTTCACAAAATTTATTCGAATTCGGGGGGGGGGGGGGAAATTAAAAAATAATTTGCAAAGGAAAGGTTTATCTTTTACAAAGAAAAAAAGTAAAGTAAAGTAATTAATGTCGAATTATTTCTAAAGAATTTTTCTCTTTATCGCCAATGGAAAATCGCAACCGAGATAAAATACGAAAATGTATATCAGTGTATCGTCGATCCCGTATCGTTTCGACGATAGATAAAGAAAATCTTCGACAAGAGATTAACTTACAACGAAAGGGAAGAATAATGTAAAGACTAGAAGTGGCTTTGCTTCGCGATCGAGCGAAATCATCGACCAGACGTTTTACCTTTTTCTTACGTCACGTATAGTCTAAAGGTGTAAACGAGAGATCGTTGGATGATTAATCTTATCGTGCTCCTTCACTCTTGATCGACTAATCAAAACTATTTAATTACAACACTCTGTTGATCAGAGGAATCAATTTTTACTTTTTTTTTTTTTAAATAAAGTTCATTTTTTTGATCAGAAAATCTAGCTAGCCCTCTCTGATGAATTCCAAAAGGATTTCGGACGCTCAATAGATTTTATTTCAAATTTATATGTGAAAATTATTGGACCGATCTTATATTCTTATATCCAAAATTTTATTTTTATTCTAAACGAAAGCCAATTTTTGTTCCATCCAAGAATATTCCTCTTCGATGAATTTGAAGAATTTTAATCGAATTCGTTTCATTTACAATTTATAAGTGAAAATTGTTCGACACAATTCTTATATTAGTTTTAATTTTCTTTTCTAAATATCAAAAAGACAAAAATACAATCGTTACTCGATGATAAATAATTTAGAAAAACGATCCTCAACTATTCTTTTATTAGCGTTCTACATTGTCAAACCAAACCCTATAAATTTTTGTTATTTTAGATTAGTTGTAACTCTATAGATAAATAACATTGGTGCGGCCAGAGTAAACAAAAAGATTAGTTCTGAAGCGTTATGATTAATTATGAATCGTTTGGGTTTTAATTTATTTTTCATACAAACAATTTTACTCTACACACACCCCGTGACTTTTATAAATGATTTAATAAAAGATTACTAATAATAATACACATTTATATTTTGTATTTAAGAACTTAAAAGATAAATATCATGAATTTAAAATCATCATAAAAACAAAAAATAAAATATATAACAAATTTCTTTTAATTTTAGCTCAACTTTAACAAATATTTTTTTAGTACGGATCTTGTGCTTATTTTGAGACAAATAGTTTTTTGAAATCATATTGAAAGATGAAAATACAGATAATGCAATCAAATCTTTCAAATAAGAATTCGGAGTATTATCTATAGTTTTCCGAACAAATTGTGGATTATTAAAATTATTTTAATATCGAACAAAATTAGCGAGAGAATAAAAAAGAAAAAACATATATTTCATTTTTTTAGTAAACAAAAATATTATTTATCATTGTTTTCTTGATTATAAATTTCTTTTTACACAAGAGTATTACATTTTACATTCTGTAAAGTTGTTTTTATGAAAAGTTAATAAAAAATTAAAGATCTTTGTTTATTGATCGATTTCAAGTTTATGGATGGAATGGGCGTGTTGGTTTGCTTGTTTTATTCAAGCTATCGAGAAAGAAAGGTCAATAATATTCTTGTATTTGATTACTTGTTCAAATATATTTTCTTTGTTTTCTTCAGTTATGTGTTTAGATTTTCGTCATTATTATTTCGTCATTTCCTCGCATAATTCTTTATAATTTCTTATCCCATTCCCTTTATCTTTCTCTTTTCCATTTTGTTTCTCCCTATTGAAAAGGTTATAGGAAACAAACCATTAAGCGTGTCGTTCGATCAACGCTTAATTCCATGTACTCTTGTTCACGCTTTGGTAGAAACATTAAATTACACACTCTCTTGTCTATAATCTAACACACAAGCTCACGTAACAACAGGTGTCCGGTTTTTCCTCTTGATAATCAGAGATTGACGTGAAAGATGACAAAGCTATACAATTTACCTAGCTGTAAATAAAATTCGAGTCAAGTTGCACATATTTCGAACATATCTTTAAATTAAAAAAAAACTCATGATGATCGGGATTCCCATTTACTCTGGAATGAGATCATATATATACATAAAAAAAAAAAAAAAAAAAAAAAATAAAAAAAGGAGAAATATATCGATAAGAACGAGGAATTTTTTTTTTTTTTTTTTCAAAAGAGTGCGGTAAACCCTAGGAAAAAAAATATATATGTAGGGGGTAAAAAAAAAAAAGAAACAAATCAAATATAAGTCGTGAATGTTTTCATGGGAAAACTAGAATCGGAGTCAGAGTTCACTTTCTCTCTCTCTCTCTCTCTCTCCCCCCTTCCCACTCTTTCTCTTTTCGTAGTTTTTTGTTCTTTTCCTTGACGTAATCCAGATGAACGGTTAAATCGTTACGACGACGAGTCGGGCTCGTAGCATCGTAAAGATTACGATCGGAGCGTCATCGGCGCGAGAAGATGTACGTTTCCTCGTTGCTCTGATGAGAGCAAAAGAGTCGGGGCCTAATGAGAAGAAAAAGGGCCGCACAGTGGTGATTTACGAGACAACCTAAATTCAATAGCGGCACGACTTTCACGATCGCATCGTTCGCGCGCAAAGCGAACGCTTCAAACGTAATAGTAGTAGTAATAGTAGTAGTTGTATTAGTTGTAGTAGTAGTAGCTTGATTGATAAGCGATGCGCGTTACGAGATAACGCTACTAGATCGCGTTCGGTAAGTTTAAGTTTAATTTTTTGTAGGTTATTTTTTTCCTTTTTTTATTTTCTTTTTTTTTTTTTTTTACTTAAATCACTCACCCAATGCTGCGTCGTTACCACTTCGCCGTCCGCTGCCCCATCGAGAGTCTGTGAGAAATTAAGAAAAGTAAGAAAAACAAAAAAAAACTTTAATAAAGTGTATCTTCCTATATATTATTTTTTTACGCGATCGATCCCCCGGTCGTTCATTATTGTCATTCTTTTGCGAACGACATTTCAACTCTAACTGGACTTTGTCTCTTTTCTCATCTTCTCCCCCACCCCTCCCACCCCAACTTCTTTTTTTTCTTTTTTTTTTTTTTTTCAATTGCACGATTAACACGTTTGTTTGCACAGCTTGCCTCTGTTCGCACGATGGAAAAATAATTAACTAAGATAAGATTGTAATTTTATTTCATCGAAGTTTCTATTCCAATTGGTTCAATTCGTAATGGAAAATACAAAGAAACTTTAACAATAAAAAGTCTAAACGAAATCAAAGATATATTTCGCCCTTGCATCGCGAGATATTTTGATACTTTTTTTTTTTAATGTATATTTATATTTTTAAAAGATAATAATTTTCAAGGATAATCGATAATGGAAATAATACTCACGTCCTTCTTCCTCTTTACGGCAGCAGCACCTAAAAAATAAAACAGGAAGTTTCAATTATAATTGACAAAATGTATCATCCTTTATAATCATAAAATTGATGAAAATTTTTATCATATATGGTATTATACACACATACTAAATTTCGATTGAATTCTAAACGTTGATTCTTTGTTCGACGTTTACCAAGTTCATAGTGTTTATATCTTTCTCTTCTGATAGACACACACTCTATTCTCGTAGAGAGATTACTCTCTTGCTGTAACTACCTCGCAACTAGGCCATTACGCATTAATGATACAAAAAAAAATAACCAGAGCTTGTTCGGCGATAAGAGTAAGATAGAAAAAACGGGTCTATCTACATATTAAAATGGAGGTTAAAATTAATTAATCCAATAGAATAATAATACACATTGCTATAATGTTTCTTTTTTTTACTTTTTCCTTTTACGAGTTTTGAGAAATTTCTCTGTGAACACTTTCTCACATCTATTTAATAATACCGAAGTCGCATTTTTTCTTACCGTTTTTTTTCGAGTCAACACCATACGGTTTTATATTTTTTCGAACGAGTTACCTATGCATTTTTCTAACTATGTCCAGGGTGCTTGACTTTACTGATTTAATTCTTTAAATTGTAAATGATTTTATTTTAAATATTATTGATATATTGACTGTAATTCAAAGCTTCAAAATTTTTATATCTACAAACCTATTTTAAAATTATTCAATTTTCAATTGATATAGATTTGATTGCAGAAGAACATATTTTATCTTTCGAAAAATATAATTTTACTTAAATGATAAATAATTGGTATCACTAAAGTATTTGTATCTATGTAAGATATAATAAAAAAAAACAACATTTACTATTTTTGTAAATAGTAATTGGTTGTTATAATGCTTTTAAAAATATTGGGGCTAATCTTTTGTGAGACCATATTTTTTATCGTATAAATAAAATTATACTTCTCTTACAATAAAATATATATTAATTTACAAATTGAATAATCCTAAAATATGTATTCGCGTATTAAAAATTTAGAAATACTGTATTAAACAAAAATATTAATTGTTTTAAATTGACAGTAAGGGTAAGAATACTTCTAAGACTGACTGTACATATTTATAAACATTCATTTATCAAAATTGCATCAGACACCGTCATCGAGGTTTTTCTTTTTATTTTTATGAGTTGATCTTTAAAACTTTTTATAAGCTTATAAGAAAAAGCTAAAGTAATTTGATAACAAAATAGAATTACTCACCAACCGTGGGATTGGGTAACCGTGCACCATTCGTTCCTGTGGGGGCCGCCGGATTTGCAGTGGCGGGGGTGGGGGTTACAACTGAGGGAGGTACACCCCTACTTCCAAAGGGAAAGTATGGCGAGTCCGGGGGATAGGTGGCACCTTCGACGGCCCCACCGCCACCACCACCACCACCTCCACCACCAGGACCACCTCCCCCACCTCCCCCTGGCCCTCCGCCGGGACCCCCGACCGATGGACCGAACGCACCTCCGCCACCTCCACCACCGCCACCACCGCTCCCGTACGTCTGCAATCAAAGAAACAAAAAAATACCATTTTTAATGCTATCATATATAATAAACATTTTATACACAAATTTAATCATTTAACATAGATACGCTTTTTTATTCATTTCGAAATTATACATTGAGTCATAGGAGTATTCGTGCATCCCATCTCCTCACCCTTACTGTGAATTTACAATAATCAATATTTTCTCTTGCAATACAATATTTCTAAATTTTTATATAAAGAAACATATTTGAGACAATTTTTTCGAATTATTAAATTTATATAAAGTTTATCACTAATGAGTGCATTTTATTTAAATAGAAATAAAATTTAACATTACTGAGAAGAAAATTAGTCTTACAAGATATGCCAAATCGTCTCAAAAATATTATAGAATATAAAGTAGAGCCAACAAAATACTACTTACAAAAATAGTAATTGTATTTTTATTATATCTTACATATAGATACAAATACTCTTGTGATACCAATATTTTATCATTTAAGTAAAGCTATATTTTTCGAAAGATAAAATATGTTCTTCTGCAATCAAATTTATATCAATTGAAAATTGAATAATCTTAAAATAGGTTTGTGTACGTATACAAATTTTAAAGCTTTGTTACAAACTTTACAAGCAAATGTCAATAATTTGAAATTTACTGCAGAAGCGGATACGAATACTCCTGTGACTCTCACTGTATATTGCTTAAAAATTAATATCTAGCAAAATAATACGATCTTCAGTTTTATTAAAAAAATTTTTTCACAATTTAACATTAGAGATTTACCGATATTTATATATTTATTTCTAAAAACACGCATCAATTTAACGCGCGAACGAAATTACACTGTTTCGTTTAAAAATAACTCATTATACTGCAAATTTTGAAAACAGAGACAAGAACATAATTTATATTAAAATCTCTGAAATATCATATGATCATATAAATAAAAAATTGAATGAATATTTCATAAAGGATATAATTTAGAAATAATACAATATATGCAAACAAAATAAATATATAATGCGTTTTCTTTCAATGCATCAGATAGGTCTACAAATGATGAAGAAGTTCCAAAGGTGACTTTTAATAAATCATCCATCGAATCGATATTCCTTATCGTTTATACCTTAACGACCGTCGATTAGATATTAGTCAACGATTTTATAAAAATTAATAATAATAACGCCGAGAGAGAAAGTTATACTTAATTGATACAAACACCACCAACACTACCAACCAATCAACACTACCACTACCACCACTACCATAACCATTCCTTTTATGACTAAGAGGTGAGAAGTATGAATTTAGAAGCGATGCTATCACACAAGTAAACCGGCTTACGCTTCGCGATTAAATCATCTTGATAATTGTCACGAGCGTGTGATAGCAAGTGTTACGACTTAACTCAAAGCAAGTTCTTCGTGAAAGTATTTTAATGTATATAGGTATGGTAAACATCTTTGCGCGCGAACATTTCGATGAAATTGATTACGTAACAAGAGAATTATCTCGTACGACAGAGAGAATGAGAATGAGAGAATGAGAGAATGAGAGAAAGAGAGAGAGGTGAAAAAAAAAAGAATATTATGGCTTCACGTTTAAACGATCCTACTAAATGACGCAGAATTAACTCGCTCTGTGAGATTTCGGTCAAAGAAACACGCCTCTCTTGCCAAGAAACAAGGTATAAATAAACTATGCAAGAACATCTTGTATAAATTTAATATTTGCGACAGGAAAGGCCGATCTAATGAGATATACATACATATAGTTTGGCTTATGATAATCATCGAAATGATTTTTCTCGATTGAAAGAACGAAGAGATTTATTTAGTCGGAATAAGCATTCTTCTTTATTTTCCAAAAAAAAGAAAAAACGAAATTATATACATATACATATATATATATATATATATGTTTGTTAGAAGCTAAAAATATATGCAAAAATATTCCTCCTTTATTGTCACTCACCTCTCAGAA